ACTTAGAAATCTACTAAATTCACAGAGCAAAACTTTTTTATCGATTGAATGCTGCACAAATTGTTTTACAATTAAAGAATTTTGCTCAAAGATGGTTTCCCTCCAGGAAAAATTCTTTCTCGCAGTTCCTGTTATCCGTTGGTATTAAATTTTATTACCGTGTTTAACCAAACAATTCCAACTAAACTCGATTTTGTCTGTTTTATCTGTATCGCGAAAGATTTCTTATATAATAGTTTATGTTATACATTAAAAATTCACTAATTTTTTAATAAATAGAAACAAAAGAGAATTCTAATAAAATAGTAATATTTTAAATTATTCTTTATGACTTTTCTATAAATCAAATAATAATACTCTAAAATTAGTAATAATTCATAAAAATTTACACAAAAATTATTTAGTACATGACAAGATCATAAAAAATTTATCTTTCTAAAAAAAGATTTAAAAAACCGCCAAGTATGCGCGCCTCGATGAGCGTTTTCTTTCAGAAAAAACCGTTACATAAATTATTATACGCTCTTTGAAAAAAAATAACTTCCGATTCCAAACCTATTCCAAATCTATTTTTCAAACTATGAAAGTATATATTATAATAACATTTTTTTTTCAAAAAATATGTGAAGTCTTTAAATTGCGCCAATTATAAACAGAAAATAAATTTCGTTAAAACATTTTATTAATGTCATATAACTACTTTTAAACAAAAATACATGAAAATAAAAGCATTTAATTGAAATAAAAAAAATTTAATATAAAAAAACTTGACGCCGCTAGCAAGCTCGGCTTGGTCTTCTGTCATAATAATGATAACGTATCTTAATGTCAACATTTGGACTGTGCATCGCGATATCTTCGTTTATTTGTAGGATACATAGATAATAAAAAAGGTTTAATTATATAATTTAAACCTGAGTTGTCTATTGAGACTATACTAGAATCGATCAACTTTTGAGTTCTATTCTCAATGATTCGATAATCTCGGGTGCTTACAACTCACCGGCTCGCGTAAAATCACGGGGTGGTCTCGCGCTAGCTACAGCTGGCGCGAGATACCATCATCTCTTGATTTAATATCTAACGTATAGCAAACTTTGAACTTTATGATCTCATTATTATTATCAAACACTAGTCAGTTTATATATACGATAAATTGGCTAAGAAGTCCGAGAATTGTGAACACATAGTCTGTGATTTCATATCTTCGACCTATGAACTGTATATTTGCTATATATACACGACATCTTTCAATTATGGTGCAACGAAGATTCCATAAAACAACGTTTATTCGAAAAGAGCAATCTTAACAAAATGAAGGCCTTTGAATTCTGTATTTGCGCTTTAGCATATATCGTAAGTATTTATTTTCTATAAAAAAGTAATCGAAATATAAGCAATACACACAATCTTAATCGTAATTTTAAAACAATTTTTATATATTCTACTATAAACAACAAATTTGTTATCTCAAAAAATTTTTCCGCTATATTGGATCCTCCATTTTGAATTTCGAAAATTTTACTTCAGATTCGGATTTTGTGACCTTAAAAACTTTGCTACTAAAATCACACATAGTCTTTAAAACTTTTTCTTCAAAAACATTTTTGACACAAAACGTTTAAAGAGATATTTTAAAAAGTTGGCACTTTAAGATGGCGTAAACGAAAGTAAAAAAAACAATTAGCTTCGCTAGCAAAAGACTCACAAATATGTCAAAAAACGTCAATTTTGACACGTTTAACTTCATTTTTCTCAAAAACCTGACGTGATAGAGCAATTTCATTGCCGGATTCGTGTTTAGCGCGCGAAAATACATTGAAAATGATATCTTTTATTCAAATAGCAAAAATCACGTCATTATTATATTATATAAAATAAAATTGTAAAAAATATGTTTTAGTCTCTTACTTCATCTATACCTATAATGAGTAAATTAAAAACACAACCTAATAACAGTACTCAACTTATGAACATTTGCGTTATTGAAGCTGGTATGACTTATGGTAAGCAATAAAAATACACAGAATATATTTTATTCATTTACTTCTGATCAATTCTAAATTCATATGCTCTTGATAAACATAATGCTTAAATAAATATTATTTTCCATCAAAATTTTGACAACTTCAGATACTTATTAAGCATTCAAATAACAAAATAATTATTTATTATTATTAATAATAAAGCATAAATAGCAACAAAATAACAAAATAATTAAAACTTACTTTATTTACTTTAATAACAAATTTGTTAGAAAATTAATTGACTTTTTACTTTCCCCCTTTAAGTATATAAAATCCGTATAATAAAAAATAAATATTTCTCTTTAATATTTATTTTCCAGAGGATGACTATGGTATAAGAGATATTATAAATGATGTTATTGAAAAACCTGACTTCGAGGAAAAAACACGAAAGCATGGCTGTTTTGTTGAGTGTATTTTAAGGAAATTGAATTGGGTAAGAATTTGAAAGATAAAATTTTTTATCTCATATGTTTGCGACATTCAATACAAAGTGTAGCGAATACTGATCAAATCTTATTAAAGATATATTTAATAATTGTTTTTTTTCCAAAAGTGTTTATTAATCCCTTCAGACCCTGCATGCATAATGTATGTACATCAAATTTGAAGACATCTCCCTAATAGCACATTTTATCCGGGATACATCCTGGGGATGTCCGTAAGATGTTCAAAGGACACACGGATATTCTTTGGATGTCCATAGGACGTCCACTGGAGGTCAGTGTTGTTAAGATTGTGTTGAAATTATTTAATTCTATCAACATTATCCGAAATCTGATATACATAATAATGTCTCCCATAGTAAAAAATGTCATAGTTACTTCACGATCATAGTTACGTCATGGTAACGTGCGAATGTCCTTTATCACAATGTGATGTCATGACAATGTCATGGTGATGTGCGAATGTCTTTGTAACATGTATTATAATATGTATATATTGTTTTGTTATAACAATCTCACAGTGACATCATATTTTCTTTCTGACTATTGTGACTCTATTGTGGCGTGAATATGACCTTTTGCTATGGGTGGATATATGTTAAAAAAATAGTCAAAATTTTGAAAAAAAATGAATTGTTTAGTATAAATTATTTATTAAAGTACGCATAAATTGAATTAAAAATTCTTTTTAACATGTTCCAATAAAATTAAGTCTGAAAGGATTAATAAATATTGTTAAAATTATGTCATTGATGCAGATATTAAAAATTGATATTTTTAGGTAACGTATATATATATCCATGTCACAAGCAAGGAATAGTTATCTGTTTATACATATGAGGCAAATACATTACAAGTAATATAATATTTAAATTAAAAAAAAAAGATTAATGTTTATTATCTTTTTATCAATGTTAGATGGAAAGATCAGAATTTAAGGAAGAGAAATTTTATGTGGATTTAAATAACAAAATATTTGCTAATCATCCGTATAAAACTCAAATAGACGAATTTCTAAGTGATTGTGTGAGAAAAGGTAAACTACTATATCTAGCGTATCTTTATAATATTTTTTTATACCTTGGTTGAATAAATTTTTTGTACTTTTAACATTAAAGTATTTGCAATATAATCATACTTTTATTTGATATTAATATTATTACATATAAATATAATTAACAATAACAAATATATGTATATATTTTATTTTTTATTTCTTATTTTTAATTAAATATGTCAATAGCTAATATTTACATAACGCGTTACAATCTTTCTGTTATTTTTATTAGATTTAATGTAAGATTGTTAATATATTACCACTAATATATATTTTAGTAAAACATGCACCGCAAGAAAGATGTCAGCGAGGTGTTGTAGCAATGAAGTGTGGTGTGAAAAATATGTACAGATTGTTTCCTTCCATACTGAATGAAAACGAAGAGGATATAGAGAATGAGGAGAATGGAAATAATTAAATATAATTAAATACCCCCCTATACACTATACGTACAATAATTAATGTTCCGTAACAACGTAATGGAACTTTAATAAGAAAATTATTCTTTTTGTATTAAAAGTTCATATTTAATTTAATTAATAAGTACTCTGTAAATATATGTTTTAAATAAAAATACACTTAAATTAAACTTCTTTAGAATGAAGTTCATACTAAAGAAGTTTAATTTAAGTGTATTTTTGAAATATTGTCATTATATGGTAAATTATCTTTATTAATATATAATTAAAGTTTATGTATTCTACGACCTTGATTTTTTATTTTATGTATTTTATACTTTGGAGTGAGAGCTAGTATATACACGTATTACTTGCGATTATTCTTTAAATAATTGCGCTTATAGCAATGAAAATATAATCTATACAAAAAAAAATGAAAAGTATGCTTTGCATCTGTCTTTTAATATTTGCTGTAAGTACTATTTTAATCAACTACTTAAACTATCTGGAGACACTGGTAGTGTCTCGGCGCTAAGCTGCGCAGAGCGACACTGCCGTGCCTCCTTTACGCGAACCGACGAGTTGCGGCAGATCGAGATTATCAGATCTCAATAACGGCTGAACCGATCGCGTTCTATGTATGCTCAATCGATAGCCACCACACGAATTGTGTGATAAAAGTGCTTCTATTTTTTTTCTACGTGCCCTACGAGCGGAGATATCGCGACGCAAAGTCCGGATTGTTGAATTTTCACCTCATCTGGAGACACTGGTAGTGTCTCGGCGCTAAGCCAAAGCGAAGCGACACTGCCGTGGCCTCCTTTACGCGAACCGAAGAGTTGCGGCATATCGAGGTTATCGGATCTCATATAACGGCTGAATCGATCGCGTTCTATGTATGCTCAATCGATAGCCACCACACGAATTGTATAATAAAAGTGCTTTTATTTATTTTGTACGTGCCCTACGAGCGGAGATATCGCGACGCAAAGTTCCGAACTGCTACTTTTCACTTCTCCGATTTTCAGATACGTCGTCCTGGTCATGATAAAAATACAAGGGTATGCTCATCAATTGTCTAAAACTCGTTCAGCTTGCGCATGTCCTTGCCTACGTCATATTCGGGTGCGTTGATTGGTCGGTTCTGATTCGGGTGCAATCGGTGGTTATCGGTCGT